TTCAAACCCAGCCCGTCCTCCTCTTTGGGCTTACATAAGGAACTCCAGTTAACAAGATGCACTTTTTCGTAGACCGCTGACGGAATCCACGTTGTCTGCATGCAATAATAAGGTAAACTACTCACCACCGCCTGGGTTAATGTAATTCTACCATCCAATGAAAGTGATGAAGATTTCCATTCAGCAAGACGATTCTCAGCCTTCTACAATATGCCCTCATAGGTATGCTTAGTGACCCGCCCGTGGATTATTGGTATATATAACTGATTGATTTTATGGGAATAATTAAAAAAAAATAAAAAATTGCCAACAAGTAGAATGCAAGAAATATTGATTGACTTTTTTATTTCAATTCTTTGGTAAATATGTAAAGATTGGTCACTAAACCCCATTTGGGACCTTTTAGAGCAGTCAGATATGTCCTTTCACTAGTCCTCAGCAATTATAAGTAACTAACTACAAGGGGCACAAAAGGTGATCAATAAATGTATTAGTATTACTGTCTGATAGCAAGTCAAATTTGACTAATAGTATGTACATAAATCTGCATTAAACAACTTAACATTCAAGTTCACATGGAAATAAAGGAACTCAAATATAAAAGAAAAAAAAAAAAGAAAAGAAAAAATAAATTCTAACAACCCACACATAAAAAAGGAACACATGCATCATACATGCAATAATATTCCAAGATAAACTTAGAACTTTGTAAAAAAACAAAGTACAACATGCAGCAATCATGTTCGAGTCCATGTTGCAAGAACCACACTTATTAATTGTCTTCCTCTGCACTGTTATTACATTTGCACTAATCAAATCCAATCCCAATCATTTGAGAGACAGAGAGAAACTAGAGAGAAAAAAAAGAGGCTCGACACGATGCACAAAACGAAACTGCAAGAACTGTGTCACAAACGGAAATGGAAGCTTCCGGAATACACAACCTCCCGGGAAGGTTTAGATCATATGCCTCTTTTCAGGGCCTGTGTGTGGGTTTGTGGCAACAAGTTCGATAGCGGTCCAGCTTGCAAGTCCTCCAAACAAGCCCACAATGAAGCTGCCCAACTCGCATTTCTTCACTTCACATCATCTGGTCATCCACATTTTCTTTTTTTCTTCTTCTTCCGGTTTTTTTTCTGTTTGTTTTTTTGCTATCGATATGAAGTTTAAGAAGTATGTTCTGTTTCGTTGCCCTCTTTTTGGTTCGGGTGAAGGCCTTTTCATTTAAGTGAATGGTGTTAAGTTTTTGCAATTTGTTTGTTTGGCTAATGTGTCCTATGTTGTTCAGGGTCGACAAACCAAGAGAGGAACGAAAATGATGATAGCACAATTAGTACGAAACAAGTGCAGAGTTCCATCCGTTCGGAGGACAATGTGGCTGTGAAGAACTCTGAAAATCTTGGTAAGAAATTTAACATACAACTTAATCCCTCTTGTAGACTGTACTCTTTTCTGGTTCAAGTAAGAATATGATTGTCACTTGCAAGTAATTAGATATTTCTTTTCAGCTTAAATTAGCATAACCATTATTATATATACTTAATTTTTTTTTTTCTGAAATTTACTAATAATCCCATAGCATATGCATCTACTTACAAGCTGCACTTTCTTGATTGGTTGAATTAATAAAAAAGTTAGACTCGAGTATTCATTATTCGAAAACTTTAATGTACTTTTTTTTTTTTTTAGTTGAACTTTGTTCTATTTCTCCTCTGGAAATGACAAGTCACTCAAGTGTGGTTATATTTTTCATCGACTGTCATCAGAAAAACAGAACAACTTCAAGAGTAAACTCGAGACTTATGCTCGAAAAAGGAACCTTAAGCCTCCGGTGTACCTTGATGAAAAAGTGGGGCCTCTATATAGAGCTGTAGTCTCCATCGACGACGATTGGTTTCAGAGTCCGGTAATGTGTGAAACTATGGAGGGAGCTCAAGATTCTGCTGCACAAGTTGCTTTGTTATCCTTGTCAACCGATGCATTTCTGGAGGTAAACTACTAATTAGTCCATATAAGTACACAAATTTTTAACTTGATATCGGTATAATTATATAATTTTTTCATGTTGTTTTAATGTTTTTTAATGTTGCAAGAACGACCCGCGTTCCTACAAAATTCTTTTGAACGAGCTTGCGAAAGACGAAGGATTTTTCATTCCAGTGTACACTACGAGCAGATGTGACGAAGCTAAGTTTGAGGCATTCTCATCCATTGTGGATGTTGAAGGAGAGATATTTCAAGGGGCTAAAGCAAATTCCAAGAAGCTGGCTGAGCTCAATGCTGCTAAGGCTGCATATACTGTGTTGATCGAGCGTAAGTTCGCCTCTTATTTATTTATTCATTTCTGCACTTTTATGCTTTTCCTAGTTATAAAAGGCATATATTATTAATGAAAATTTTCAATGAGATGATCTGTTTTATTTCTTATTTGACAAAATATATGAATAATAATATACTATAGTATAGGGTATATATATATATATAGCGCCTGCACTTCTAGTCATGCAATGAATGTGTAAATTTGCAATGTATGTATATATATATATATATATATACTTCCGAAAACACGATGTGATTTGATTGCACGACGACAGGAAAAATTTGTCATGTTTGGACGATTTTGTTAAAATTTCCGATTTTCTTTGTCCAGGTAAGTTATTTGAGACTGACTACTTTCTACCACGCTCCCCATCAGGCGATGATAGTCTCAGACTTGCTCGTAGCATGGGCTCACTCAACCTTTTCGATCCCGAAGAATGTCCGAAATTTGAGTCTCCATCAGACTTCGGTTCAAGCATGAAAAACGAGGCTCAAATACAAATATTCACCGGTAATAACTAACTTCTGCTTTCCAGTAATATCACAACGACCAATATTTATGCATGTAACATTAGCTTAATCATAAACTAAAGTGCAAAAATTTGTCACAGCAGAAAAGGTTACAGATGA